GACCCCAAATGCATGTCTTGTGTTTAAACTAAATGATTTAGTAGTAGACAATGAAACTATTCACAATTATTTATTGTTCAAATGCACGTGGATACAAAACAGTGTTTTAGCTTTGTTCTTTGTTCTTGTTATTAACTACTGCCAAGTTGACTTCAAATAATATGGCAAGCGCATGAGTGACAGACCTACAAGGCACCCTATCATTGACAGTCTGCTCAGGCTTCGCAGACTCAGGAATGTAGCTTCCTTGATTGAATACATACACCTAGAATGTGGTCTTTCTCTTTTCCTAATGCCTTCTACCTTACCAAGCATTATTGCCTTTTGATTTGGCTCCTGCTCCTACGTCTCAAACCAAGGGTGTATCTACACTGTAGAATTAATGCAGTTCGACATCACTTTAACTGCCAAGGCTCAATGCTATGGAATAATGGAAGATGTAGTTTTACAATGTCTCTACAGACAGCCAATCATCTCACACCAGAAGCGATTTGCAGTTTCTCAAGTTGCTTCTGACATGATTATCAAAACATTCTTTATCCTTTTCTGCAAAAGAGTGCTGGTGCCTCACTAAACTACAACTCCTAGGATCCCACAACATCTGCCGGCAACTTTATTAAAAAGGGGTTCCAGAAACACCCTAACACACATCAAATTCGTCTTTTCTCTGAAAAATAATCCCGATTTCCCCTATCATGTAAAGGGTTTTCAACAAGTCTCCAAGCAGACCACACAAAGAGTCTCAAACTGAGTCTTCAGTCAAGTGGAAACTAGGCTAACATTTAAACAGGTGAAAAAACACATTAACTGGCAGAGAGTGCACTGCTGATTAAGCTACTGTATCCAGCGGATGAATATTCCAGTGTTTCAAAAGTTGTTTCTGTTTCACCACTGTACTCCTGCCTGGACTTGGAGATGTCTGAGAAGCTATCATCTCGCCAAAAGGAAAAGCCACAAACTGAAGATGGATATAAAGAAGCCATTTTATCACAAGTTGACACAACAGCAGTATTTGGTTTCTTTACACTGTCAGAGACACAGAAAATAAACAACATACAAACAAATAAGCAAATACTAATTGGGGGGGGGGGTGTTACAAAACTATTAGTTTTGTTTCTTTAGCATCTTTACAACTATCATTTTGTTTTGCTTCTGGCAGGATGCTCGGATGGGCTGATTTGCACTTTGTAGAGCTGAAAGATTTGTTCAGTCCATGGCTGCAATCCAACATCCCCTTAGCATAGTGTAAATGTCCACATTTAGAGGCATGGTTTGCCAGCTGTGAAATGCATGTCGATGAGTGGATGCCATTGTCCAATGCACAATGCATAACCATAATGTACAATATATGATGCACAAATGTAAAGCACAAAGCACAACTGCAAAACAAAGGGTGCAATCACAATGTGCAAAGACAAGGCAAAGAGAAAGACATGGTTTGTGCAACAGTCTCAGCCTGAATGTAAGGAGGGGAGAAGGGGAGCTGATGGAGCAACCAGTAGATCAGTCGGAAAAGCCTAAAGCACTTCAGTCTGAGGCTTGTGATCACCAATGGAGTCTAAACAAGGACTAAGAAGCTAAGGAAGGAGTTTAAAATATTTAATGGGAAGGAAAGGAATGGAGTGAGAGGCTGGCACTGCTGGCAGGATAGCGATGGATCAGTAGAAAAACAGGCAACAAAGGTCAAGCTAGTTAAGCAGCAGCTATAAACTCGCAAATAATCCAATCAATGAAAGCGAAACTTGTGAATGTGGAGGGCCAACTCTATTCAATCCATTCACTCCCACAACCACACCCCTGTATGTATATTCTCTCTTACTCTCTTTTGTGGCTCCTCCAATAACTATCTTCACATAAAAATGAAATGTATTTCCTAAAATCCATATTATAAGTAAGTTTGAGGAAACACTGATTCAAACGCACTAGGCATTGTGTTTTCCAGGTATTCAAGTCTTTCACTCAGAGTCCCCAGTGACGCACGCAATGGGTTAAACCCTTGTGCTGGCAGGACTGAAGACTGACAGGTCAGAGGTTCGAATCCGAGGAGGCTGTCGATGAGCTCCCTCTGTCAGCTCCAGCTCTACATGCGAGGACATGAGGGATATCTCCCACAAGGATGGTAAAACTATCTAACATCTGGGTGTCCCCTGGGCAACGTCCTTGCACATGGTCAATTCTCTCACACCAGAAACAGCTTGCAGTTTCTCAAGTCACTCCTGACATGAAAAAGTCCCTTGCTCTCCACTAGGACTAATGAGAAATTTTCCCAGAAAGCCTTCCCCCCTCCCCTCTCAAAGCCTAACTCCTAACTTTAAAAAAAAAAAAAGGGGGGGGAGGGAGATGGATTGTGAAATAAGGAAAATTCAGTCTGTTACAATGTCAAACTGATGAAGCATCTTGGATGCTACTGAACTGGATAAATCAGCACATAGGAACTTAAATAATAAGTTATATTTTCTTTCTCTTCCTCCAGCAGCAACTTCCGTAGACAAGACTTCCACTAGAGAGAATTCTGGATCCAACTATAGTGTTTTCACTTTGCAATATATGGAGACACAATATATCTACTTTTATAAGTTTAGAATTGTTTTGATCTGTTTTTAAAGGTTTCTAATAATCTTTTTATTGCACACTACTTTTGGGAGCCCTGATAAGCAGTAATGCGTTCAACAAATTCTTTGAAGACATAAATAAATAAATACTAGATGTGGTGATGTGAAATAGCACTAAGAAGGAAGAGCCCAACTACAACAAGAGAACAAAAAGACGGCAGAGACAAAGGAATATGCCTCCAATTTAAAAGTGCAGAAATAAAGGTGGGGGCTCATATTTTTTTCTCTAAAGCTATTCTCCTTCTGCTCCTACTCTGCATAAGCCAGCATTAAGTCCACAATGGAAGGAGGAACAAGGCAGCGCCTGTCCTTTTGAAAACAGGTCAGTGTTGTGAATATACCATTCTGAGCACAAAGTCAGTCATCTGTCTGCCACGACATTAATATACAGTTCAGCAGAAATACGGTTGGATGGCATCAGCAGTTTAAGCCACTGTTCTTAGTGGAACGGCTGCCAGCCGAATGCAGAACCCCTTCACCACAAAGCTGTTTTTCCATTCAGTGCATCAGGGCAGCTCCCTACATATTATGAAGATGGTCACACAGGGCTGCTCCTGTCACTTGCAAGGCAGCTCGATATGGATGCACATGCTAAATTATTTGTCCACAGAGCCTGGGGATAGAAACCTGCGCTACACTGTCTGATTTCATACAGCCTCCAGCTTGAACTCCATGCTGATGCACTTTTATTTCATGGTGAATACAGCTGCTAAAATGTGAAACATAGCGATTCTTAGTAAATACTGGAACTCTAAGCTTTGAATCTTCTGTTCCTTATCTAATATAATTTAAATTATTTTTATCATTCAAAAACTATATCCCAACTGCTTTATGTTTCATTATATCAACTTGATTTCTTACATGAATATCATTTCCATGACCTTTCATTCTGATATCACACAGTGTAATTGGTGCCATATACCACTTAACTCTCACATATGTATTTCTTTTTCCAGTATATGGTGTAGTTCCCCTTTCAAGAGGCTATATCTCCTCCCCTTTGCACTGTAATTGTTAGCTCCCTCAAATTAAAAATTGAGGCTATAGATTTTTATAGCAAAATGCCCTTCTGAAATCAAGTGAAGAACAACAAATATTAGTATGCCTTTCTGGAAAGAAGTTGCTTACAGACGCCATACTCTATTTATACATACCACAGCTTTCCCCTACCACCAAGTTCCTTGTGCTGTATACATCAGGGTTATTTTATTTTATTTTATTTAAAATAGCAAAACTAAGCAATCCTTTTATTCTTAGGAAATGTGCTGGGGGAAATCTCAAAAGCATTAAAGCTCCCGAAAACATTATATAAAGTATCCATTTTTTGAGGAAACTGCCACAGCTCTTCAAAGCAGTACAGTCAACACTGACAGTAAAATTATACTGCACAGTGCTTAGCCACAGTATTGAGATAGAAAATCCATGTAAGCACAAGCATAGCTGAACTGAATACTATGTGCTGAAGACAAGAACAGGGAAGGGCTGTGGCACGCATATTTACAATACTGTATGTCAACCACAATTTGCGGACAGCTGCTAGTTAATTTTTGAGTATTAGCCTTTCTATAACATTTTACATCACAATCAGATGACAGAAAAGTGGTGTCCGGGCAGCTGATGTTTTTCTGGTGCCAAGGGAACTCTGGTAACAATATCCATGACTTCTTTTGTACCAGTTTCTAAAGAGCAAGTAATCCTCTAGAGAAGGATCCCTCAAAATGCTGCTCTTCTTCCTGTGTCTCTTCCAACTCCAGCTAATGACAAAACTGGTTGGAGATGATGGGATGTGTCCTGGGAAGTGACAATTTAGAACCAGGCCCTTACTAAAGAGTTAAGGGTGGGTTCTGTGCTCCTACTGATATCAGAAGCGTGATCTTACTTATCCCTTCTCATTTTATCACCACTTCCATGACAATAGCATAGGTCATGTTAACTGTTTATTAAACTAAAATAATTGTCATTCTGAATGTGTTTTTGTGTCATCGTGAAGGAACAGTGGCAGTGTTAAATGACTGGGTTTAAGTACAATAAATAAATTTGGATGAATCTCATAGATAGTCTCACTGTATCTTTGAACCAGAATCCTGTTGTGGCCACACATTAGCAAGAAAATTGTTGGGCAAGTGGTTCCATTTCTCAAAAATTGCTGAAACATTGTCCCTGTATGAGATGCTATAGGTCAGTGATGGCAAACCTTTTAGAGATTGGGACATTGGGGGGGGGGGGGCAAAAAGGAGTGCGGCGAGAGAAGCAAACTATTTACTTGTCTCAGCAATAGTATTTGGGTAATACAACTCTTCACCTGCTATATAACTAATACCTTTGTATCTGTGCCTTGAGCTGCCACAAAGAGGGCTAGAAACATAAGACAGAAAGAGCTTTACTTACATGAGTCCAGTCCTTCCACCGAATGTGTGCTGAAGAAAACCAGTGGGAAAAAAATCCCATGACTGATCAAGGTAAGTAGCGATGTTGCGGTGCTCTTTGTTGACACCATTCCATGGTACATCTTTTAGATATCAAAAAAATTTAAATTTTTTCTCCCCTCCAAAGTTTCAAGATTTGCTGGTTGAGGTGAACTCTATCTACAACAAAAGAAGAGAGAAAAGGGTTAGATAAAACATCTTAAGTGGGACAAGGGAGAAATGAAACAAAATACAAGAAGACATTTGAAGAGATCCAAAAACAAAGGCAGGGAGTCCACAAAACAAAAAAACAAACTTGCCTGAATGGACTCGTGTACAGTTACATAGTACAGAAAGGATTAAAAAAGCCATATATATGGGAGTGGAGGTAAAAGCGAGAACCCACCAGACTACGTAGAGAATTAATTCTACAAACATCAGGTAAACCAGTTTTGCCAGACAGATGCTTCTGTGTTTTCAAGGCTCACAAAGAAATGGCAGTCGGACTAGACTAGACTAGACAGATAGGATAAATAAATAGAAATCTTTCATTACACACCTGTAGGAAGGGGGGCGTTCAACCAGAAATCCCTCAGGAAAAGAAATCTCCAGAGTTTAGAAACATACGTTCGTCTAAACAAAACCGTCATGGGAGGAAGTCAGATAGAAAAGCAAGCTGCAGTGTCAGAATGTCACAACTTTGAATTACAAAACAGCACAGATGTTTAAATTCAGGGAAGTGACATCATGCCTTCCTCTCAATACACTATTAGATTCAATCCAATGGTCTATGTCACCTTCTATATTCAGAACCTAAGCCAAATACCTAAGCAAAAACCTGTCCTACGGCAAGTTGTTTCAGGAAGTCAATAATGTATACAAGGCACTCTTAAATGCAATCCAGAGCTGTTAGTATCATATAACTACTCCAGTCCCAATCAATTTAATGATTCCCCTGATCCCAGGTACTCAGAATGAGATTTCAAAACATGCAAACAAAAAATGAGTGACGCATTAATATAGATTTTGAAATACTGGCCTAAATCCAATTGCTAGTCTCAACTAGAGCAAGCCCATCGAATCAGTGGAACGTAAATAAATGTTGTTTTCCCAAATTCCTTTCAACAGCTCTAATCTAGGTGGGTCTAGCTATTGGAAATTTTAGAGTAATGGGCATCTTAAGTAGGAAGAAAATTAACTTAAATGAAATTTAACTGAAATTATAGCACTGTGACTATTAATCAGCGTAAAATGGCAATGCATTGGAGGGGATCAAGAATAATTACAAAAAGCTACAAGATATCTAATATTATAAAAGCACAATGGGTCTAAGTCAGAACCAATTAAGAGTTCGGTACGATTAAGAACAAATGAATTAATGGGATTGTTTTAGCTCCAATTCTTATGGTTCTTCAGTGAAAACAGCAATGCAGGCAACCTTTCTGTGGCTCCATCCCTGGATATCTCTGTGACTTCTGTTGCTATGGAGAGAAGACAGGGCTTCCACCAATCCCTCAGTGCTGCAATGCAGTGTCACTACTTCCCGATCATCTGTTTACAAAGTACATGGCTTATCTCTTAATACATAAGAAATGTTTTGAAACGGATATGTAAGCCGATGGAAAAGCAGCTGGGAAGCCAAAGTGCTCAAAAGAGAACCACAAAAGCTTTATTGCTCTGTATCTTCACTGACTAGTATAGATCATCATAAACCCTTATGGGAAATATGGTCAACCAGAGCTTGGAAAAATGACTTTCATAAGCTCTGACAAAACCTGAACACTTAACCTCCGACTCCTACTATATATTAGAGTAAACAACAAAGGAAACCATGCCAGCTTTGTTTTAATACTAGTGACCAAACAAACACAATGTAGAAACCCTGCAGCATGGAAATCTTGAATAGAAATCAAGGGAAAAATCAGCCCAACTGATTTTCTTGCAAGGTCTTTTCCCTGTCCCACCATTTTCACAGGTACATGTTCGGACAATGGGAGAAGGCCTAGCTGCTGGTTGCTCCCAGGCTCTACATCTCCCTTTCTAGACAAATTAGACTGTCATTTTTCTGGTTACTCCTTTTATGGGCGGGTTAAGACTCTGTTTCAGCAGGCCTTTTGGGGGTAAATACTTGTGAGAAAAGATCTTCAGATTCTATGAGATATGTGTATGTGTACACACACACACACACACTTTTTTGTTCTATTTTAACTGTTTTTATATTTTAAATTATATTCATTTAAACTTTTCTAAGCTAATTCCCAGATTGAGTAAAAGTTATTATCAGCATGGTAACATTTTAAAATAGAATAATTTATACAGGGTGAGGCAGCATAACTTCCTTTTTAAAAATGCGTGCCATTCAATCGGTTGAAGACGTAGCGGAGCGCTAGTGGTCTTGTTCAAGAGATGGGAGCATAAATTTTGTCCTGACACAGTTCAGTCGCCATCATGCGTTGGAACAGTGAGGAGCGTGCTTTTGCCGTTGAGGCCTACTTTTCGAGCAGATTTGGAGTGGCCAGCCTGCTCTCCAGATTTGGCCCTTTGTGATTTTTTTCTATGGGGTTTTTTTGAAATCCCGTGTTTATGTAAACCGTCCAAGGACCCTACAAGATTTGAAGACCAACATCCAGGAAGAAATAGCCAACATAACACCTGCTATGCTGGCAAGAGTCATGACAAACGCCAGAAATCGGTTTATTCGGTGTATAGAGAATGGAGAATGGGGGACGTCACCTACCTAATTTGATCTTCAAAACTACGTAAAACAAAACTTTAGATATGCGCCTACATTATACAAAAATAATAAAAATTCTGATTCATACAATGGGTTTTATTAAGTTTTGAAAAAAGGAAGTTATGCTGCCTCACCCTGTATTTGTGTGAACAGATGAGAATATTTTTCATGGCAGCTGTAACTATAGGTTCTGACAGACTCCACTGCTCATTTTGTCCTGAGCATGCTCTTATTGGGAAATTATAGAGAGGATATTTTATGTGTTGAAAAGAAAAATGTACTAACTAAAGATTGCAACTGAAGACCAGTTGCAGGGAATGCTTCCATAACAGACTTCATCTAGCAATAGTTTTAGGCCTGAGTTTAGCAGTGAGCCAGCATGGTATAGTTGTTTGAGCATTATACTACACCTCTGGAGACCAGGATTCAATTCCCCACTAAGCCATAGAAACCTGCCAAGTAATCTCGGGAAAGTCACATACTCTCGGCCCTAGAAAAACATATTACCCTGGGTAGGTTTGTCTTCAAGTTACTGTAAGGTGGAAGCTTGATTTGTAGCAGAAGATGGTCTTGAAAACCCTGGTCCATTCACATTACAGTAGTATTTTATTTTTCTACATATCTTGAGAACCTAATATCAGGCATTCAGTGAAAAGATCGAATGACACAAATAGTCCAGTTTTTATTATGTTTGGTGCTATTTATTCAGTCTGTCCTTTGTTAAAATAGTGAAATATTTGCCTGATTTGGAAAAATACTGACACTCTAATAACAAAGGGCAACTAGGAAAAAAAACATTTTGTTAAATAAAGAAATATGGACCAAGGACAAATCAGAGAACCACACTCCTAGCTTTTCTGAAGAAAGGTGTATCAAATTCTTACGTAATAGAGATGGTGCAATATCATCACACTATGCTGAAGGGAAGGGCAGTTCGTTAGAAATTCAGTATCACTATTCTGCAGATTAATGTTATTTGCTGATGGAATGAAGGTTATCCGCTAGAGATAAAGCACTCAAAATGAAGATCCTCCCATGCATAGAGATAAAATGGCTCAGAATAATTTTTTTTCTTTTTTACTAATGCACAAAAATGCTACCATCCTTCAAACTGTGCATATTTGTGCACAAGAGTGAGACAGGGAAAGGGCATTTATTTTCTGACTGTGGCTTTGATAGGTCTTTGGTCCAAAGCAGCAAGGCTTTTATTACACTGCACATTAGCAGCTAAGTAGAAGCAAGTGTGGATTAGTACTTTGCAAAACCCTCTGTGTTGGTATTATCTTTACCTACTTTCTACTCTTAAACAGAAAACAGTTTCCACCGTGCGTCTCATATCCAGTTCTGCCAGAAGTCTCTCAGCAGGACTTTTCTTATGTTCTAACAAGTGTATGAGGCCTGCCTGACAATCTTTAGCCCACACTGTAAACATCTTCATTGGCAGGCTAAAAAAGTGTTTCTTTCACACTAACTAATCATTTGCTGATCTCAGCAACTCACATGGGCACAAGTCCCAGACTCCAAGCCAAAGAAACCCTCCCCATGCAATCCAAGGGCATGAGAAAGACACAGCATGAAGTAGACATGTTCCGGTGCTTTAAGGACACACACAAGCAAAGTTATGCAGCTGCGAGGACGAAAGGGAAAATATTTGTCCACTTTTAAATACTGCACAGGAGAGTCAGTAGATGTCATGTGCTTAGTTTTCAAATGAGAAGAATCCTTTAGATAAATATTTATAAGTATTTCATAAGCACTGTATAGCCAACATAGCAGAAACAGTATTTCTAAGGGGGAAACATCCTGAACAAAACAATCCTGGAACAATTCACAGCTAAAACCATTTTCACTCGCAAGTTAAAGTCAGGAATGAACATCCAAACTTGACAGAGCAAATTCATGAAGACTGTGTCCTCAGGCAGAAATTCCACAGAAAAGTATTTGAGGAAACAAAAAAATCATTGAAGGTAAAATACTTGAAGCCGAAGGGCTGCAACATTTATTTCCATGTCATGGAAAACATCATTATGTTCAAGGCCTCACAGCTTTTAACAGCCCCCACCTCCATGTACAGGACTTCAACTCCCACTGACCTGAGCCAGTATGACCAGTTGTGGATGTCAGATTGGGGAAGGCTATCTTAAACCACTGAGCTGCTGAATTTGCTGACCAAAAGGTCGGCAGGTTGAATCCAGCAAGTGGGGTGAGCTCCAGCTGTTAGGCCCAGCTTCTGCCAACCTAGCAGTTCAAAAACATGCAAATATGAGTAGATCAATAGGTACCGTTTCGGTGGGACATTCCATGCAGTCATGCTGGCCGCATGACCTAGGATGTGTCTACGGACAATGCTGGCTCTTCGGATTAGAAATGGAGATGAACATCACCACTCAGAGTCAGACACAACTAGACTTAATGTCAAGGGGGAACCTTTACCTTTACCTATCTT